TCTGCCTCGTCAGTCATGTATCGAAAGTCACATGATCGCCTAAGCGTGTATCACGCATGGCACATAAGTTTGTCATGATTAGGTTTGTGGAGGGTTCGGAGAAAGCTCTTTGTGGAGACTGTATTTTCTGAGTAAAAGGTAGAAAATGACATAGATAGTGAGTGAGTGAGTGTGTGAGTGAGTGAGTGAGTGATTGATTGATACAAAGAGAGAAATTGGACATAGAATCAAATCTGAAAGGTAAAATATTCAGCATTTCTTAAATGCTTCTTGTTGTGGATTCCGGGATGAAATCCGGTCTCAAAATGAATGACAAACGCAGAAATATAGCAAATAAATATATTGACGTAATAATACAATTGGTAATAAGGTTAGTAGATCCAGAAATGCGGTTAGTAGCAATAATAATATATATACAGTCTGAGAAATTCAGTATCGAAGTAGGACTTCCTTCTGAGTCTACGTGCTCGCAACTGTGACTCCTACAAAGCGGTTACCTCACACTCTCACTCTCTCACTCTTTCAGTCCCGGGTATTCACCGGCAGCAGTACAAGTACACATTGGGCGAGTCCACTTGTATAAAAAGGGGTGGACCCCTTAACACTTCTTAAGTTCTACTTTTCTTCACTCCCTGGCCACCACGCTTGGTTCACAGTGTAGTCTAATCTCTAATGGTAATGTTAAGGTTTATCGTTTCATTAGAAGGAAGCATTCTACATCCATTGACTGAGCAGCCACTGCATCGGGCTGAGTTCAAAGTGTAGTATCTGTTCTCCTCATCTCTAATGCTAATGATAATGTTACCCATCACTTTAGAAGGAAACATATGAGGAAGATATTCTCACATAATTAATTTCCTTCACAACGCACTTGTATCAAAAAAAGCTGCTCCAATTTTCGGCACTGACTGGGCAAGCATATGTAAACACGCAGGAGTCAGTTACGCATGTTTTTTTTTCTGTAGATGCAGGCATGCTTACATACAAGTTGGAAGAGAGGAAGTGGTTGTGATGCAAAGTTAGAGAAAAAAAAGTGTCCAATAAAGTTAGCATTTATTGACTAAGTTTTCCAACGGAAAACGAAATATATATATATATATATATATATATATATATATATATATATATATATATGGGACTCCAAAACAACTTCCAAAAACAGAAAGATCTGTAATTGTAATGAAAGTAGTTATGGCACCTACCCTGAATCCATCATAGAAATACTAAGAAATAGTAAATACTAAGAAATAGTAAATACTAAGCGTTTCACTTCCCTCTGTGTATGGATCAGATATAATATATTTATTATAGGCGATAAGGAAATTGGACATAGAATAAACTGTGCTAGATTTAGTATCAGCCAACACCGCAAAGTTCTACAAGGCCAAATCATTAATATGAAAAGTCGAATCACGTTTTTCAATCGCTTCCTCAGATGGAGACTTTCATATGGATGCCCTGCATGGTGCCAAACCTGTTCAGAAATATCTAAAATGTCAGCTGTCTGCAACCGCTTTCTAAGATCAATGCTTTATGATGACTTTGAGCGTGTGAAGCCTGAGAATCATGGCAATGACCATCTTTCGAACATAGTGGACGGGCGCTACAAAATCAGAAAAACAGACGTCCTGGGTATGGCAATAAACTATATCCAACAGCAAGACCTCTGATCAGAAGCTTTTAAGGAGAGTCTTCTTAGGGTCCAAATATGGGCAGAGAGTTACCGCCAATCTGCAATATGAAAGTGTAAAAATAGGTTTTAATTCCACTAATACATTTTTGTAAAAATATTACAAGGAATGAATTTTTAAGGAAAAAAATTGTTACCAGCAATACATTTTTGAAAAAAAATATTACTAATATTAAATTTTTGGAGAAAATATTACTAGCAATACATTTTTGAAAGAAAAATATTACCAGCAATAAAAATCTTGTTGGCATTAAATGACCCATTGAGGTTAGTATGCCATAAAGCAAAGCAAAGCAAAGCAAACCAGAAAAACAGTAGTTTACCAAAGAAACGAAACTACATCACTTGAGAACTTTCAACAACAATAACAAATAAAATGGATATCATATATAAGTCGAAGAGAAAATAAGGACATAAGATTTTGACATTCCAAATAAAAGTTTAGGAGGGAAACTTCTATCAGTACTGGAAGAATCGAAAATACTTACTGGAATAATGAAGCCTATTTTTCTGAATAATTGTTTTATGCGAAAGTTTTAATTTTCTGGCTGCTCATTCAATGAATTCAGAATGTTTCCTTATAAGGTATGGCTTATATTATCATTATCATTTTATATATGTGCAACGTCAGGTAATTAAGAACAAATAATACTAAAAATGAAAAAAGAAAGAAATTCAATAGAAAAATCAGTATCTATTCAAAAGCATTTATGTAGAAGTTTAACTCGGATAATACTTCGACGCGTTTTCAGAAACGATTTCATGTGATTTTCAATCGTTAGCCATCGTATCCAAAAGTGGTTCACCAGGGGCCCTTGGTATTGTAGAACACCTTATGTTCCCTTAAGGATACCTAACTGTAATAGTCTAACAAGTAAAACTCAGGATAGATATCTTTGGGTGACATAATCAAGAAAGTTCTCCGCTAGACATAAATGGGTTAGGTGAATTATATAGAAGGAAGAGAATTTGAAGAGTTTGTCCTTCTATGGATCACACCCTAAATTCACCATAAGGATCTAGACGGTGGTATTAATCCTGAGTTCATGAACGAGCCTGAATACGATTACAATTATTCACTTTTGTTTCGTACGTAATTTCATGTCAGACGCAATTTGCCAGCTGGTATTTGTAACGAGACTAAGTATTGGTTATTGGTATTATTTCTGGTAAAATACAACCTCTATTAGTTGTCCCTGACTCCGCGGATAAGTTAATAAAATATATTCATTATCTTCAAAACACCCCACGTAAATGTCAATATATACGTATCTGTGCATATTTCTAATATGAGGTATTAGGTACACTATTTAAATTGCCTGGACTATCATCCCAATCTTTGTTGCCATATTTATCACAACGTTTCGGCCGTTGTTTTCGGCCGTTCAGGCGGTTGGAATGTCGAACTGAACCCTTTATTTCGCTCGTTGTGGTAGACTGTTCTAGATGTGGATGTCAGTTATCAGTTATCTCTGCAAGTTCTCCACCGCCTTAACCAGGTATTGAACTCACACTCGGGTTCTGTCACTGGATCTAACTAATGCCTTTATCCACTGTGCCATGTGTTCTTGAAGACATCTGTGTATGAATTTCTGCGTGTTATAAACATAATGTCTTCAGCGATCCATTAGACATGGCCCGTGGAACTAGAACAGTATACCCCAGTGAGAGAAATAAAGGATTTAGTTCGACATTCCAACCACCTGAAGAAGGCCGGAGCGTACAACGTCCGAAATGTTGTGATAAATACGGCGAAAAAGATAAGGACAATAGTCAGAATAATGTAAATAATGTACATAATTCCTCATCTCAGAAATATAAACAGACACTGAAGAATACTTTGTTTATAATGTTTGTTTATAATTTAATTGTGGGAGCATAACATCGGTTTTTAAAAATATTATCCGATTATTACACTGAATACATTACAACATCACGATTAATAGAAAAAGTGACTTGGTGAGATTCAGTGTCTATATTAAGGGGCCTGGACGATGTGCACTTAAACCCTTCAACATTAATTACTTGACCACACCTGCAATCCTTTTCCTTTACAAGAGCAAGATCAGGCCAAAAATGGAGTACTCTTGTTATATTTCGACAGGAGCTGCTCAGACCACACTCTCCACCCTTGATAGAGTTCAAAAGCGTCTCCGAGCCCTTGTAGGTGACCAACTATTCTCCACTCTTCAACTTCTCTCCAACAGGCGGGATATGTCAAGCCTCTCACTGCTCTACCTCTACGATAAGGATGGTAGTCCGAGCGATGTAAATAGTTTCAATATATACGTCTCTCAATATATGCACCTCCCTTATATATATATATATATATATATATATATATATATATATATATATATATATATATATATATATATATATATATTGCCACACGGAACCAACACGTTCCAGGCCAGTTTGAATTTTCCTTTTTGTAGACTGTCTTCTAACCAAGGCAATACAACTCAATCTGTCCTGCTATTTACCCATAGATGCGAAAGGGAGAGGATTTGGATTCATACCTTTCCCTAGGGTATTAGCACGTAAATTAATGTAATGAATTCAACTGGAATTCCAACTCGGTTCTCTGATTCCTAAATAAGAGCCGCTAACCTTTACCCCATCCTGCCTCCGAAAAAAAAAAAAGAAAGAAGAGGACTGGAATATATATATAGAGAAACGGGTAGTGGTGTGTATTAACTGATCAATAAGAAGCGAGCTCGTCTAGCAGGACATGGTGTAGTTAGTTCGAACCTTACTTGTTTCTCTGCCATGGTTTTGAGCGACATTGAGTCTAGTTTATATTCCAATGATACACGCGAAAATAGCGCCAATTTTCTAAGGGAAATGAGTGAAGCAAAACCTGGGGTCAAACTCTGTAAAAAAAACAAAAACAAATAAACAACAATAATGACCCCCCCCCCAAAAAAAAAAACAAAAAACATAATTCCTTGTTTCATTATTTCTATTTAGATTATGTCTTTTGTTATTTTCACAGTTTTCAATTTTCCTCTTCTTGTTTTATACATTTTTTCTCTTGTATTGTTCGACTGGGAAGGGAGAGAAAGTTTGGCGGACAGATGAAAGGGATTAGTGGGATTAGCTGCAAGGAGAAAGACTCAGTTTTGGGGATGTGGTAGATGCAGTGGGATCGGGATCTTTATATGATGATGTGGGACAGGCGGAAGCTGTAAAAGTGTCGATAAAGGGCCTTGATGCAATCAGTCACGGTTAAATAAGTATGCGGACCAGTTGTGTTTGAGTTCATTAACAAATTAGGTTTTCTTTTTATATTTTTATTATTTTCAAGTTCCTGCCCGCTTCTTTCTTTCTTTCTTTCTTTCTTTCTTTCTTTCTTTTCGTCAACCTCTTTTTCATTTCCTTTTCACTTCTTTTTCTTTTTTCTTCTCATTTTTTGTCTTTTGGTTTTCCCAGCGCCATCAACGACTGATTTTATTCTTTCATTTTCCCCCTTCTTATTCATTAAACCTTTTTTTCATTTTAACTACTATAATTTTTTCTTCGTTTTCAATCATTTTACCAATCATTACTTCATCTTCTCTATCATTATTCTTTTTCTTTCTTTTTTATGTCTTTCTTTCATTCTGGCTTTCTTTCATTCTTTTCTTTCATTCTTTCTTGCTTTCATTCTTTCCTTCTTTCTTTCATTCCTTCCTTCTTTCTTTTATTCATTCTTTCTTTCCTTCTTTCTTTCATTCTTTCTTTATTTGACTAATTTCTTTTCACTACACTCGACCGCCCTTTTTATTCTTTCTTTTCTTTTTATTTCTTATCCATCTCATCTTTTGCAGTTCATTTTCTTCAAATATTTTTTCTTTCAACATCTGTCAACAGATTAATTCATATTCCCTTTCATTACGTTGCCCTTCTTTCTTTCTTTCTTTCTTTCTTTCTTTCTTTCTTTCTTTCTTTCTTTCTTTTTTTCTTCAACTTTGCACCTCTCCATTGTTCTTATAACACGACTACTTCAAAATATATTTCTCCGTTTTCTTCTCTTATTCACATGATCTTTGTTTGTTTGTTTGGATTCTTTCTTTCTTTCTTTCTTTCTTTCTTTCTTTCTTTCTTTCTTTCTTTCTTTCTTTCTCCGAATATGTTTCTTATGTTTCGTCTCCTACTTCAAAATATATTTCTCTGTTTTATAATATTTCTCATTTCATGATTTTTCTTTCATTTTATTTTTAAAATTCTGCTTATTTTTTCAATTTTCTTCATTTTTAAAAAAATGTAATTTTCATTCTCAGTTTTTCTTTATTTCTCTTTCTTCGCCATTTTCCATATATTTTTTAAAAAATATTTTTGTTTTTTTTTAGTTCATGTCCGCCATTTTATTTTTCAGCTTTTGCAACAATCATTTTTTTTGTTTTTGTTTTCGGCAATTTCCCCTCCCTACTTCTTTCTTTCTCTTTCTTTTGATTATCACACGACACATTTCTTCTTCTTCTTCTTCTTCTTCTTCTTCTTCGTCCTTCTTCTCCGTCCTTCTTCTCCGTCCTCCTCCGTCCTCCTCCTCTTCTTCTTTTCCTCGTCCTCCTCTTTTTTCTTATTCTCCTACCCCTCCGCCTTCTTCTTCTTCTTCTTCTTCTTCTTCTTCTTCTTCTTCTCCTCCCCTCCTTTTTCTTATTCTCCTCATCCTACTTCTTCTTCTTCTTCTTTTCCTCCTTCTCCTCCTTTTTTCTTATTATCCTCCGCCTTCTTCTTCTTCTCCTGCTCCTCCCCTTCCTTCTTCTTCTTCTTCTTTTCCTTCTCCTTTATTTTCTTCCAGAATATTTCTCTTCTTTTTCCCATCATTTCTTTTGACTTTCTTCTTTTTCCACTCAATTTCCCCACTCAACTTCTTTCTTTCTCTTTCTTTTGATTATCACACGACCCATTTCTTCTTCTTCTTCTTCTTCTTCTTCTTCTTCTTCTTCTTCTTCTTCTTCTCCGTCCTCCTCCTCCTCTTCTTCCTCTTTTCCTCGTCCTCCTCCTTTTTCTTATTCTCCTACCCCTCAGCCTTCTTCTTCTTTTCCTTCTCCTTCTCCTCCTCCTTTTTCTTATTCTCCTCCGCCTTCTTCTTCTTCTCCTGCTCCTCCTCTTCCTTCTTCTTCTTTTTCTCCCCGTTTTTATTCTTCTCCTCCGCCTCCTTCTTCTTCTCCTCCTCTTCTTCTTCTTCTTCTTCTTCTTTTCCTCCTCCTTCTTTTTCTTATTCTCCTCATCCTCCTTCTTCTTCTTCTTCTTTTCCTTCTTCTCCTCCTTTTTCTTATTCTCCTCTGTCTTCTTCTTCTTCTTTTTCTTCTTCTATATTTTAA